ACTACTCAGGAGGCTGAGATCTGATGATGAAGTCGAGTTGTGGCTCAAAGTGGTAGAACGTTACCCTCAAGTAAATGAGCTTAGGGACAGTGCCCAGGCCCTGAGTTCAAGGACCACCAATGACAGGAAAAAAAATCATGAAATTAGAAAACAGAAAATCCTTAAAAAAATCCTCTAAAGTTTTCAGAGATGGAGGGAAAAAATCACATCAAAAAGAACTAAAAATCAGGCAGTGTTATTGGTTAATTCCTGTAATCCTAGCACTTCTGAAGAAGCTGAAACTATGGTTCAAAATTAGTCTAGGCAGGAATTCCATGAGACAATAGCTCCAAATAGCCAGCAAAAAAAGAGGCTGGAGGCATGGCTCAAGTGGTAGAGTTCCAGCCATAAACAAGCCAGAGCAAGTGCAAGGCCTGAATTCAAGTCCTAGTAGACAGTTAAAATCAAAATGATTTGGATTTCTCCAAACACTGGAAGCTTAAAGCTCAGGGACAATGCCAAAGCCCAGAGTTCAAATCCTACAACCAGGAAAAAAAATACCAAAACTGAAAAAAAAATAACAATGAACAGTTGACAGGAAAGCAAGAGAGACTCTACTGGGGGATAGAAGTAGGAAGGGAAGGGCTAGTGAAGAGGGTAAATGAATACGGTCAATGTAGTTCATTTACATGTATGAAACTGAAACCTGCCGAAATTGTTTTAAGAAGGAAGAGTGAGAAAAGGGACAGTGATTGAGGGGGTAATCCAGATAAAATGTTTACATGTGGGAAAATGTCACAATGAAATCCCTCTAATGTGTGCTGATAAAAAAGAGAGAGAGAGAGAGAGAGAGAAAATTGTGCCAACAAGCTCAATAGCAACTAATGTTTATACAGTCATAACATAAACATTGAAAGCTCATCTACCCAAATGACAGTATTATCATGTTGAGAGGATGGAGTTAGGGAACCCTTAACTTCTAAAAAGAGGGTTTATTATGCCCACAGAAAGAAAAAAAATGGGTAGTAGAGATATAGAGGTAAATACCAGGGGAACCATTTAACAAAGTTGAAAATAAATGCTTGTAAAGAAAGAAATGGAGGGAAGATGTGACAAAGGACTGGTATTCTTACATGAAAAAATACAGAATTCTACTGTTCATTAAATTCAATGTTATCAATGCATACACTTTAAGTTAAATAATTCAGGCTAACTTAATCAAAAGGAAAAACACAAAGCCTGGGACAGTGTTGAATGCCTATAATCCCAGATACCTGGAAGGCTAAAGCAGGAGGATAGTGACTTTGAAGCCAGCCTGGTAACTCAGCAAGTTCCTTTTCAAAATAAAGTAACAAAGGAAACTGGGGAAAGTGAAGGAAGGGGTGACACTGTCCAAAAAGAACTGTACTCATTACCCGACAAAGAGCCAGGTGTCCATTGTTTACCCCTGTAATCCTAGCTTCTTGGGAGGCTGAGATAAGGAGGTTTGTAGTTTGAGGCCAGACTTGGAAAAAAGTTCATGAGACCCTTGTTTTGATCAGTAGCTGCAAAGTTAAGCAGGCAGATCCCAGTCCAGACTCCACCTGGGCAGGAAATGAGACCCTGTCTCAAAACTAACCAGTACAGAAGATGGGTGGCAGTTGACTCAGCAGTAGACCATCCACTTAGTAAGTGGATGCCCTGAGTTCAAACACCAGCACCACCTAAAAATATAAAAAAGTAAATAGGCTAGGGTCACTTAGTGGTAGACAATTTGCCTAGCATACACAAAACCCTGGCTCAATCCCTAGTACCACCAGGAAAAAAACAGATTAAGGGGAAAAAACTGATGTTAAGTTCCACACTTTAAAAATTCTTGTGCAATCTATGCATCTCCTGGTTTCCCCTATATTACACTAAGAAATTACCACTAGTGTAATAATATTGGCTGAATTTCAAACTCCTCAGATTCTTCTAGTTGTTTAATTGTTGTCTCTTTTGTTCTAGGAGCCAATCCAGTAGAATACTCAGCACCTAACCACACTGTGCCCTTAGCCTCCTTCAACTTAGGATTTCTTCATCTTCTTTATTTTTAAGTACTTGAAACTTTTGAAGAGAGCACTGTTGACATGTTCTGTAGAATGTATAGAATGTCAATGTGGGTCTATCAGATATTTTCACATGGTTAGAATACACTCACAGATTTTGGGTAAAGTGCCATAGAAGTGAATATATTCTTAGTTTATCTTAGCATATGCTTTAATGATGTCAATATGACATCACCAGAGGTATGAGATCGCTTGATCACTTGATTACAGTATGCTCGCCAAGATTCTCCACTGTAATGTCAATAAATTACCCTTTCTTACTCTATTCTTTGGAAAGGCATCTCTAAATCCAACTACATTTAAAGAAAAGAGAGCTATACTCCTTGGGAGTAGAGAATCTACATATATTATTTCTTCCATTCATTTTCAAGTATAATGCCTTAAAAGACAGACATTACTTCGTATTTACCTAAAGATAGAATTTCATTTGTTAAGTCCTCTTACCTACCAGTATCAAGATACCAAAGATCCTTGCAGCAAACTTGACTATTTAGTGCCTTTTTGTAGCCATCTCTTCCACTCCAAAAATATAATCGTGTCCCAATTGCAACAGCACAGTGCCCAGCTCTTGGTCTTGGTCTTAAATTTTTTTTATCTTCCTGAGAATCAGATACTAGGGTGGTCCACTCTGCTGTATCTAAACAGACAGAAACAACTGTGATTGACTTACTATTGTTAAACAAGCTAACAAAACTCCTTTATTAATACTTGTTACTTCAATGAGTAACTCTTAAAAGACTCACCTAGATTTAGGTAAGAAAATGAACTGGTACATCTCCATTCACAATCATGAGGTGAAGAAGTTTCAGTATTTTCCCCCTTGTGTGGAACCCATCCACCAAAAATGTACATCCTAAACAACAGAATTGATTTAGTTTTACTTTTTAAATTTGAAATGGTCATAATGAAGTTAAATTTATTTGTTGACTCAAATCTTTACAACTATTCAGTCACTTATTACTGTCAGGGAAATGGGAGTAAAAAAACAAAGTGGCCCCGGGCTGGGAATATGGCTTAGTGGGAGACTGCTAACCTAGCATGCATGGAGCCCTGGGTTCAATTCCTCAGTACCATATACACAGAAAGGGCTGCAAGTGGCACTGTGGCTCAAGTGGTAGAGTTCTAGTCTTGAGCAAAAGAAGCTCAGGGACAGTGCCAGGGCCCTAAGTTCAAATCCCACAACTGGCAAAAAAAGAAAAAAAGAAGAAAGAAAACAAAATGGCCTTCTTTCAAGAGATTAGAATTTTAAAAGCCAGGGCAGCAATGTGCACCTGTGGTCCTAGCTACTTGGAAGGCTGAGGCAAGAGGATCATTTAAGCTCAGGAGTTCAAGACCAATCTGAATGAGATTCCATCTCAAAAAGGGAAGAAAAAAGCCAGGTACTGGTTTTATCCGTGGCTCATACCTCTAATCTAGCACAGGAGGCTCAGGATTATGGTTACAAGCCAGCCCAGGCAAGAGAGTCTGTGAGACTCTTATCTCCAACTAACCACCAGAAAACTAGAAATGGAGCTGTGGCTCAAAATGGTAGAGTACTAGCCTTGAGTGAAAAAGTTCAAGGACAGTGCCCAGGCCCTGAGTTCAAACCCTACAACCAACAAAAAAATTAAAAAATGAGGGAAAAAAAAACCTTGAGGACTTCACAAAGCAATACTGAATCAAAATTATTTCTCTCTGGCAAATTAAGGTAACAAATATTTCAACTATAACATCTGAAAATCAGATGGGTTTCTCAGTCAGAAAGAAATGCTCTATGACATCCAAAGTTACTGTATACATAAGGTAACAAAAAGATTAAATGAACTTGGTCACTGCTATTATTTAAACAAAGAACTTAAGCTACATATCCTTGTAGTACCACGTACTCAGAAGGCTAAAGCAAAAGAATTCCTTTAGCTCAGGCAACTGAAGCCAGACTAGAGAGCACAGAGAAACTCCATCTCAAAAACCAAAAGCAATCTTTAAACTATATTCCTCAGGGTCTTAGAGGTTCCTTTGCAGCCTGACAGGAGCTAATGAAAAAATGCTGAGAGCCTTTATATGGGCTTGAGGGCCCATATAACTTTGTGCTGGCCAGAACACCTTTATTGTGTATCTCTTTTACATAGCTGGTATCCAATGGAAGACTGTATTTTATAAAAAGGACTCTACTTTTAAAGTATTTTAAAACGTTTTGTTTAAATGTAAAGACAATTGTTTGGTTTTGAGGTTGTTTAAAAAAAACAACTAATGAGGTTCTGAGTTATAATTTGTGTCCTAAAGCATTACATTCCAGGTCAAGTCCTTGTACTGGTAAGTACTTCATTAAGTTCTACTTAAGCAGCATTCTTCTTCATAGCCTAATGTTGTGCAGATAAGGCAATCTGTTGAAGGTGGTTCTAGCTCACCTGTATAGACTACTAGAAAGGAAAGGTAGATGTGAATCTATCAACTCTCCTTGCAACTGTGAAGTAGGTTTACCTATAATTCCTCTTGTATGTTTCAGGAAACTAGGGACAAAGCATTGCGTTTCCTTGCCCCAGGTTGAACAGAATAAATATCTAAGCTGAGACTTGAATTCAGGCAATCTAGTCAGTTTGCATTCTAACCATAATCCTGTACCACCACTGAAGCATCATCACTGAGAGTATGTGCCTGAGCGCAACAAGCAGTATCTGGAACTTGTGAAAAAAACAGTGAGGCAGGTGTATGAAGCGTGCTGACAAAGCCCTACTTCCATTTAAGTAATGCCTGTGCTGGGCGTGGCATGGTAAGATGTGTAGAAAGCAAAGACAAGATGATGAGAAATGGGCATACAGATGAGTTACAACACACAAATTATTTGTGCTTTGGCAAGCACAAACACTGTTAAGTTCAGCAATCAGAAATTAGTATCAGCACTTTTCTAACTTATGCTGGGTTTTAAAAAACAAAAACAAAAGTTGATAAAATGCCATACTTGTTTCCTATAACGCTAGCTGTATGAAGGCTTCGTGGAAGTGGCACTGTTCCTTTAGTTTCAGGTTTTGACCATGACATAGTTTCTGGAAGTAAAAGTTAAGTATATTAGCAACTTGATATAGTAATAGAAAATTACCTCAATTATTTTTTAAGTGATAGGAATGGAACCCAGGGTCTTGCAGAAATAGAGGCAAGCACCCTACTTCTGAGTTACATCCCAGTCCTCAATTTGTATACTTGATTAAAAAAGAAAGAAACTAGAACCAAAAAGAAAAAAAGAACTCATCAAAATGAAGCAAACTTGTTTCAGAATGGTTATTTGGACTTTATCTCAAACATTTCCAGCTTAACAAACCGCCAACCTGAAATCTATTTCCACTTGAATTTAGCATTCATAAGGGAAAGAGGTTAGCTTAGAGTATAATCAATTCTGAATGATTTTAAAATTTCAAATAAGAGCATATTGTGTGGCAATAGTCAAAGGTGACAGCACACTTATCTGCCAATTAGTCATCCCTAAAATCCCTTTAGAAAGGGCTGTTAGGATTTTTCCTGATTAGCAATATTTCTAATGCTATACTTCCCAAAGATAGGGAAACCACATACAATTCTCATCCCAACCAGACACGTTTCAATGAGAAAGGGGGCAGTACTGACAACTACAGATAGGACAATAAGGTTCCTTTTAAGGAACATAGGAGTTACTATTGCAAACTCACCATTCATTTGTTCAACCTGATTGATAACATGTCAGTTGTCTCTGGGCCTACAAGTGCTGACTTCTATCTTAGAGCAACTCTCTCAATACTGTAATCAAAAATATTTTCAGAGCTGTGTGCTGATGGTTCACATCTGTAATCCTAGCTATTCAGGAAGGTCAGATCTGAGGGTCATGGTTCAAAGCCATCCTAGGCAGGAAAGTTCATGAGACTCTGATCTATCCAATTAACCACCATTAAAGGAGGAAGTAGAGCTGTGGCTCAAGTAGTAGTGTGTTAGCATTGAGCAAAAATAAAAAAAGCTCAGGGACAGAGCCCAGGCCCTGAGTTCAAGCCCCAGGTCCACCAGCACACACAAAAAAAAACTTTTTTTTTCAGAGCTGAGATTGTAGCTGAAGTGGTATAGCATCTACCCAACAAGGTTGAGACCCTGAGTTCAAACCCCAGTACAACAAAAATATATTTTTACAAAGGAGTTTTAATTTTTTATGCCAGTACCAGACTTGAACTCAGGGCCTCACACTTTCTTATGTCCAATGCTCTATCTTTCAAGTAGAACCATATCTCTACTACCAGTATTTTGCTGGTTATTTGTAGATAAGAGTCTCGCAGCTCTGTCCACCTAGGCTGGCTCTAAACCTCAATTCTCATATCTCAGCCTCCTGAGTAGCTTATAGGAGTAAGCCACTGGTACCCAGTACAAAGCATTTTTAACTTCCCCTTATTAAATCATAGCCAATATTGCTGAGCCTGAACTAAGTCAAGCTTACCTATGTCAAGCTGCCATAGGTCATCCAGGCGAGCACCACACATTCCGCCAAAAACATACATTTTAGGACTTCCAGAATCTTTTTTGCAATATATAATAGCAGTGTGGGATTCTCTTGGAGAAGGCACAATCCCTTTAGTGACTGGAATACTCCAACCCACAACACCAGAACCATGCTGTAGCTCCAACTCATAGAAATCATTCAAATATCTAGGACATCATGAAAAAGATTAAAGCATTCAGGTAACAAAGAGCTTTTATTTGCTTTTTGTTTCTATTCATAAAGATAACATGTGCTTGGTATAAAAAAATGCATACAGTTCAGAAAGGCATTAGGAGAGCAAAAACCCCAAACCATTCAATACTCATTTATCAAACTTTACTATGTGCCAGGCCTTTTAGTGAAGAGATTAGAAACAAAAATCTTGCCATTATTTAGCCAACATTCTTACCAATGACAGTGGTGGTAACTTTAACAAATGGCCCTAGCCAGGTGCTGGTGGCTCATGCCTATAATCTTAGATACTTAGGAGGCTGAGATCTGAGGATCTCCATACAAAGCCAGACTCTTTTCTCCAATTGACTACTGAAATAAAAAGGTCAAAGCTAAGCTGTGACTCAAGTGGAAAATGCTATCCTTGAGAGAAAAAAAAGAAAAAGAAAAAAAGCTCAGGAATATCAGGCCCTGAGTTCAGGCCCTGGGACTAGAAAAACAAAACAATAACAAAAAAAACCAGCCCCAAATCCTCTGACACTCTTCCAATCTGGAGGTACAGTCTCTTTCTCTCTCCCATATATTCTAGCTGTAATTGCTTGGAATAATAAAGTAAGTGAAATGATAACATGTGATTTCTGATAGTGGCTATCAGAAGTCCAACATGGCCTCACTAGACTATTGCTCTTACAACCCTGATCCACACGTAAAATGTCTAGCTACCACAAAACCACACCTGAAGAGCATCAGAGGTGATTGTCCCAGTTGAATTCATCCTTTAGCCACCTCAATTGAAGAATCAGGCAGGAATTACCTACCTGGGGTCTAGCCAGACACTCTGTATCCTATTTGAATTGTGAATTACAGAGTTCATGATCACCATTAAATAGGCACTATTCTGTATTACATTTGGGGGAGGGGGAGTTGATTACATGACACTAGACAACTAGAACAATCACTATGAATAATATTTTGGCAAATGCTTGTAAGACATTCTCTCTTTAGAGATCCACATATGGATAAGTGGGCACTCAACGATGGTGCTTTATGACTTTTTCCCTCCTCTATAATATCATAGCAATCTTTAGAAACTGGCATGTAACCTATCCATGATATGGATATATTCAGAGTTTTCAGCAAACTTAGCAAAGTGTGAAACAATTCTGTGCCAGAATAAAGAGATCTAACTAGGAATAAAATTGTCACTCATAGCTCAGAACTTAGTAATATAATTCATATATATTCATGAAGGAGAGAAATGATAAAGTGATCATCAAAAATTAATTTAAACTATATAAATATCCATTTTTTTGTTAAAAAGCAAGAGAAAAAAGCTGGGGGCCAGTGTCTCACACCTATAATGCTGCTGAGACAGGGAGGATCTCAATTTGAAGCCAAACCAAACAGAAAAATCCTTGAGACTTCATCTCCAATTAACCAGCAAAAGCTGAGCTGAAAGTGTAGCTCAAATGGTAGAGTGCTAGCTGTAAACAAGAAAGTTGAGCAAGAGCATGAGGCCAAGTTCAAACCCTAGTACTGTAATAAAAAGAATACAATAGAGAAAAATAGAAGTGGTAACCTTGATCAAGATGCACTGAATTGGCCCAGCACTGGTGGCTCATTACTGTAATCCTAGCTATTCCTTGAGGCTGAGATCAAAGGATCAATGTTTGAAGTCAGCTCAGGAACAAAGTCTGAGAGACTCTTATCTCCGTTTAACTAGCAAAAAAACAAGAGTGGGGCTGTGATCAAGTAGAAGAGCACCAGTCTTGAGGGAAAAAGCCAAAGGAGATCGTGAGGCCCTGAGTGCAAGTTTCAGTACCAAAAGGGAAAAAAAGGATGTATTTTACTTAGAAACTATTTGTTGAACTAAAACTCCTCTGTACAACTACTTAAAGACAACTAAAAAATTAAACTTAATTTTTTAAGAAAGAAAATGAAAATATCCTTCATCAGGTTTGGGAATGCAGCTCAGCTTTCTTGTTTAGCAGAAAATCCTGGATTGGATCTCCTATACTACACACACAAACAAAAAGTCCTTAGTCTGATCAAAGGCATATACAAGTATAATCTGCAGCTCATTTGAAAAATCCTAAGAAGGGCCGGGCGCTGGTGGCTCACACCTGTAATCCTAGCTACTCAGGAGGCTGAGATCTAAGGATCGCGGTTTAAAGCCAGCCCAGGCAGGAGAGACCGTGAGACTCCTATCTCCAATAAACCACCAGAAAATCGGAAGTGGCGCTATAGCTCAAGTGGTAGAGCGCTCGCCTTGAGCTGAAGAGCTGAGGGACAGTGGCCAGGCCCAGATTCAAGCCCCATGGGCCAAAAAAAAAAAAAAAAAGAAATCCTAAGAAGGATCCACTTATGTTAGAATTAAGATATCATAGAAATGGAATTTCAAATAAACAGGAATAAATGGCTTATTTAATAAATGGTGTTGGAAGAATTGAAGGTCTATTAGGCAAAAGATTATAAAGCCTTAAACTACTCTCAAACATATATTCCAAATACCTTAGTGTACTAAACATTTTTAAAAAGTGAATTCACTAGAATAAAAAAATTGATTCTTAATAATTTTGGGGAAAGCCTTTTTTTTTTTTGGTCGGTTGTGGGGCTTGAACTCTGGACCTGGGTACTATCCCTCAGCTCTTCAGCTCAAGGCAAGCACTCTACCACTTGAGCTACCATGCCACTTCCAGTTTTTCTAGTGGTTTATTGGAGATAGGAGTCTCACAGTCTTTCCTGCCCAGGCTGGCTTTGAACCACGATCCTCAGATCTCAGCCTCCTGAATAGCTAGGATTACAGGCGTGAGCCACCAGAGCCCAGCTGAGGGGAAAGCCTTCTTAAGCAAGATACAAAGCCAAAAAACTGGAAAAGAAAATATTCTTCACCAGGAGCCAGTAGCTTAATCCTTAACTACTCAGGAAGCTGAGATCTGAGGATCATGGTTGGAAGCTAGCCTGGGCAGGAAAGTCTGTGAGAGTCTTATTTCCAACAAACTACTCAGAGAAAGCACTGTGGCTCATATAGTAGAGCACTAGCCTTATGTACAAAGAGGCTCAGGGACAGTGCCCAGGCCCTGAGTTCAAGCCCCTGGACCAGCAAAAAAAAAAAAAAAAGAAAGAAAGAGGGGGGAGGGAGGGGGGAGGGAAGGAAGGAAGAAAATATTCTTCACAAAACAAAAATGAAAATACTTTTAAAAGTTTAAAAAGAGGCTGGGAAGTTGGCTCAGTGGTAGAGAGCTTGCCTTGCATGCCTGAGGCCCTGAGTTCGATTCCTCAGCACCACATAAGCAAAAAGAAAAAAGCTGGAAGTGGCACTGTGGCTCAAATGGTAGAGTGCTAGCCTTGAGCTGAAGAGCTGAGGGACAGCACCCAGGCCCAATTCAGGCCCCACGACCGGACCCAAAAAAAAAAAAAGTTTAAAAAGATAAGGAAAATATTTGGAGCACTTAAAAGGAAATGTAATTACTTAAAGAACTCCTAGGGACAATAATAAAAGGAAAACAAATCAACAAAAATCATTAGAAAGAAATGAATTCAGATAGGTTACAGTATCCAATGTCAACACACAAAGTCAATAGTATTTCTATATACTAGGTGTGAACAATCAAAAACTCAAGTTAGGATATCAAATCCACTTGTCACCAGAAAAAAAAAGGAATTTTATGAAATAAGAAAAAATAACACCTATATACTGAAAACTATAGAAAAACAGAGTCAGAGCTGGGTGCTGGTGGCTCACACCTGTAATCCTAGCTACTTAGGAGGCTCAGATCTGAGGCTCTTGGATCAAAGCCAGTCTGGGCAGGAAAATCTATGAGACTCTCGTCTCCAATTAACCACCAGAAAACTGGAAGTGAAGCTGTGGCTCAAAGTGGTAGAATGCTAGCCTTGAGCAAAAAAGCTCAGGGACAGTGTACAGGCCCTGAATTCAAGCCCCACAACGGACAAAAGAGGAAGAGAGAGAGAGAGAGCAAGAGAAAGAGAGAGAGAGAAAAAGAGAGAGAGAGAGCACGCCAGTAATTACTACTGCTTGGAAAACAGAACAAAATATTCACTAATGTAAATCAGTTTAACAGCTTCTTGTATTAAACTTGAGACTGATACTTCCATCTTATGGTCATAGTTTTATATACAATTATCTTTTACTTGTCATGATTATATATGACCTAGCTAACATACAGTATAGACCATTGGTTTAAGAAATCATAATATCAATGAGAAATGCAGGGAAAAAAAAGAAATCATAGTATCAATTTAATAAGGTGATTTCTGGTTAAAAAAGACATAGTTTGAAAACAGATATTCCCCAAGCATTGAGGAAAACAAATAGCTCAAAACCTAAGTTTCCTCTCTTATATTTAAAGATGTGTGAAAATCAACTGTTCCTAAGCTAAATCATAAAATAAAGCATTTGAGTTAAAGAAGGGTCACATACCTGGGAACATTATTGTTTGAGTCTTCACTTTCATTTGCCAGGCCACCAAATAAATAGCATTTGTTACCATATAAAGAAAAACTATGTCCAAGTCGAGGACAAGGTGGTAAACCAGAAGGTGGGGGTTGGGGCTTCACTTTTTTCCATAACCAACGACTTGCCTAAAATCGAACACAAATACTCATATAAACTCAGAAAAGCATTCCTAGTTCTACACTGTCAATAGTATATTACACAAAACATTTTAATACATCCTATCAGATGGCTCCCATAAACGACTTGGAGAACAAATAGCAAGTAAACAGCTAGCTTTTGTAATTAAAATATATGTTCTAATAGAAATTCAGGCTAATTTATTATTATAAGCATATGTTAACTCAAAAAAAAGAAGAAATGAAATTCCAGGTAATTTATATTCACATTTTCAGAAAACACATTATATTTATAACAAATAATAAACACTGAATGTTCTAATAATTTTCTAATAAAAATTATTTACTTTATATGGCTTTAAGATGAGATATAATCTATGTATAGTTACTTTATATTAGGTAATCTAGGAATTTAAGTAAAAGCACATTTAACAAACCCAACTCCAAAACTAAGTTCTCTACCCATGCATGTTTCCTCATTTGAGACTATTTTTGAAATAGGTTGCTTATAAATAGATATAGCCCACCTACATCTGCCAATGAGCAGGTACCCACAATATTGTGGCTTGGAAACATGCACAGATCACAAAAAGTCAACAAGGGTTAAGTCTGGTTTAATAAGAGAACCAAATTTAGAAAGGTCATATGAAACTGTAACTTCTCTTTTGGAGTATTTCCAGGGGGAGGAAAGTAATTACTACTGTGAAAAGTAGCAATTCTGGTAACACTAAAGCAGTGGTTTTCAAAGTGTTGTCTGGGTAGTAGTAGCAGCAGCAGCAGCAGCAGCAGCAGAAGCTGGGAACTTGGTAGAAAAACAAATGCTGACAGCATGACCTAACAATTTGTTTCTAAAGTCCTTCAGGTGCTTTGATGCAAGTTAAAGGTGGAGAACTACTGCACCAAAATATAAAAACCCAAATACATAACACAAGTATCTTAAGTTTGGGTTTTTGGGTTTTTTTGACTAAAGTTTGAACACAGGGTCTCACACCTGCTAAGCTTGTGCTCTACCACTTAGGCCATGCCACCAGTCCTGGGTTTTTTTGCTGGTTAAGTGGAGATATAGTCTAGAGAATTTTTCTACTTGGGCTGACTTCAAACTGAGATTCTCCAGATTTCAGCTTCCTGGGTAATAGGAGGATTACAGGTGAGAGCCACCAGCACGCAGCAATGTCTAGTATGTTGATGTCACTGAGCATAGAAAAAGATTTACATTAGGAACTTTAGCTATTCTAAGTGGAAACCTTTACTTTGTAGCTGTATTATGTGAAGCTCTTGAAGTTTTAGCTAAGCTAGTTTGGTGATCTTCTGAGGAATTATCAATTTTATTATGAGAATTTTGGACTAAAATGATAAATTTTAAATACACTTACTTGTAACTCATACAATTCATTGCTGTATCTTCCATATTCAACCATGCCCCCAAATACTAATATTCTGGTACCATCACAGACAAATCCATGGGCAGCACAGCCTGGAGGGATGTCTCCTCTAACAGCTGGTAGGAACCACTGATTTGTAACTAGTTGCCAAAATAAAATTAAAATCAATTTAAACAAATAATAGTTATCACAGTCTATCAGTATGTACTTTCTATGCATCCTCTTTATTACAGTTGTTTTGACTGGGGATGATTTTGCCTCTTGGGACACTGATTTTTAGTTATCATTGATTGTCACATAGAGGGTAGCCAGGGCCAGGAATACTGCCAAACATCATTCCTGGTTTTCTCTTTCTTGTCACTGGGAATTGAACTCAAGAGACTTCAGCATGTTAGGCTTGGGCTCCACCATTTAAGCCACACTGACAACCTTTTCTGTTTGTGATGTATTTTTGAAACTGGTGACTTTTTGCAAGCTATCTGCTGGCCTCCACCTAGAGAATAGCTTGGATTGAACATGCTGATTATACAGGTAAACATTTTATGATGCACAGGATAGCCACTCTGCACTACACCCCTGCCTAGCAAAGAATCATCTGGCCCAAAGTGTCAATAAGTGTTGCTGTTGGAAAACCCATGCGCGGTATCATTTAATTCTTACAAGAAATCCTAGCTGGAGGGGGTAACAATGTTTAATAGGAAGTGTACTCATTACCTCACTCATGTAACTGTAACCCTCTGTATGGTATCTTTACAATAAAAAGAAAAGAAAAAGAAAGAAAAAAAAAAGAAATCCTAGCAAGAAACATCTCTATTTTACAAGTGGAAAAAAATCTGAGGTTTTGAAAAGTTTGGTAACTTTAATGCTGATCCAGGGTGACTAGCAAAAGCAATGTCAAATTAGATCTAACATGTTCTAAAGCCAGAGTATTCACACCGTATCAAAGCGAGTAACTGTTTAACTTTATATGCTGGGGTGTTTGGGAAGGGGGGGTGACAAAAAGTTTTCTCCTACTCCATTGTTTTTGGTGTTCACTTTGTACACGACCATTGTGATTAAGTTGTTTGGCCCAAGAAAAGTTGTTTGTCATGAAAACAGATGTCAGATCCAGCGATTACCTTGACACCAAGGAAATCGATTTCTCGTGGTGGCTGGAGGATGTAAGAGTTGGGGGGGGGGGTTAGGTAGGGGGCGGAAGAAACAGAAGTTCCAGCTTCAAGAGCAGTGGAACTTAGGATCAGCAGTGTCTCTCCAAGCTGTGAGGACCAGTCCGCCAGAGCTCGGCACACACGAAGAGCAGCCATGCAGAGAGGGGGCTGGTGTCACCCGCGAAGCACTTCCCCGCCGGCTTAGAGGGCCACCGGGGAGGGGGGCGGGGGGAATCCTGCCCGCTTCTGCCGGATGCCGGGCCGTTGGGGAGCTAAGGACCAGAGGCCTCTCGAGCTCCGTCCTCACCCGCTAGCTTCTCCTCCTGCTGAGCACCGGAGGGAGGCAGGCAAAGACGGCCGAGGCCGGGAGCGATCGTTTGGGGGCGGTTTTGCTTTTTGACAGCGGAGGGACCTCGCGCCCATCTTCCCCCCCCCGCCCCTCGCGAACGCCACCCTGCAAGCGGCGAGCCTGGGCGGAGAGGCCCGGGCGGCGGAAACGGTCTCCCGCCCGGGTCTGCCTGCAGGGCTAGAGCGAGGGGTGCGGGGGGCCGCCCGCCCGGGACGCCGCC